AAAGAAAAGGAATAGATCCTTAATTACTAAGCAACGGCTTAAGAGTATAACTTACAACGTAAAACTTTTGCTTATAAAGTATATAAGCTGCCTATTCTAGTATAGATAATAGCAAGTAGCTAGCAAGTAACTAGGAGTTTCTCTATAAGAGTATACGCAAGTACTAGCTAAGACTCTCTATTTACTCTAAGTATTACGCTTATTTATATACTAGCTCTAGCTATAGTAGTTATTATTCTACAGACTAGTTAAATAACTAAGAGAATAGAGATATATTAGGAACTCTTCTCTCTTCTCTTCTCTATAAATTATCTCTGTTTATACGCTTATAAAGGTCTTTAGGCACTAAAGCTACTATCTAAAGCTAAAGAGCGTATACTTAAGGCAGACTATCTAAAGGAAGCAAATTAGCTAGTAACCTAAAGATGCTTTATATAGATGCAGAGACTTTTATGCAATAACTATAGAGAAAATACTAAAGTATATGCTAGCTGCTATTATTATAGATAATTACTAAAACTATAATTACGTACAGTAAAGAGCAAACTTTACTAGCTGCTACTAAAAGTATAATGTTGAAATTATAATATCTATAGAATGCTCTATAGAAATACAAGGACTTTTGCGTAAGTTTCTCTACTAGATGCTCTAAATAAATGCAAGAACTTATATGCAATAATTATAGGCAAGATACTAAAGTAAATGCCTATATGCAAGAATAGTAGTAATAATATAAAAGCATATTTCTATTTATAGAGCTTAGACTAAATTATAAGGCTCTATTTCTGTTACGCAAGGCATTTCTAAGAATTCTTGCAGTAATTAGACTAAATACCTTAAGCAAAGAATGTATACTAATTGCGCAGAATAGTCTCTATAAAGCGTTAGTTCCTAAAAGGTTAAGTAAACTCTCTTTAAGTACTACGCAACTTTAAGTCTCTATATTATCTATCTACGCTATAAGAGCAAAGACTAAAAGGCTTTATTTTGCTATATAGTGTCTACTAGGCAGCGTCTGCTAATACTTATTACTAAAGCTAGAATAAAGCGTTATAATGCTATATAACTAAGCAAAGTAGTAAGCAGACTTACGCCTACTACTACTAAGCTCTAAGCTATAGCTAAGAACAGCATATTGCAGATATATTAAGGTAATTCTTAGCTATTTATATGTAGGAACTGCAATAAGCACGCTAGGCTCTAAGAGTATAATCTAGTTTACTTTATAGTATCTGCTGTAATTACTCTGCTGCTAACTCTTTACTAAAGATTTAAGTAGAAGAGCGCAATTTAACTAAGTAAGGCATTTTTAAGAATATAGCCTCTCTATACTAGGCTCTAGGCTGCAGTTAGTAATAATATGCAGCAGATACTATATTATAATTCTTAGCTATAATGCAGTAATTGCGGTTAGCACGCTAAGCTCTGTAAGTATAATATTAGAACTTTTTATAAAACGCTAGTTTTATAGCTATAAGCAGCTACTTTACTGCTCTAAGTCTCTAAGCAGAGCGTTCTAAGAACGCCTTAATAAACACTGCCTTCTTAACTAAAGCTTAATCTAATTAAGGCCTTATAGCTAAAACTAGTGCTAGGTCTTTAGGCTTAAGCAACTAAAAGCTATTAGAATCTTCTTTAGTTGCTTCTAATATTAGCTAATAAACTAGAAATAGTAGATTTATGCTACTTAGCTGCGCCTAAGAGAGACTAAAAGGCCCTTTAGATCTCTAGTTCTATAAGGAACTTTGCGCAGCCTATACTTATATAGTTATATAAGTATACTAGAAAATAAGATTATACTAAATTACTTCTTATAATCTGTAAGGCTTAAGTAAGGCTATTAAACCTGCTTAGAGCAAGGCACTATTGCTACTACCTTTGCTTCTCTAATTTATAATTATATATACTTCTAATATACTAGCCTAACGCTGCCTAACGCTAAGCTAAAGCTGCAGGCGCTCTTAAAATTAGATATAACTCTAAATTTAAGTTAGCTTATTATATGCGAAACGCGCCTAGATTCTTTAACTATATAATAGTTATATTCTGCAACCTTTAGTTACTAGCAACGCTGCTAGAAAACGTTAAGCTGCGTTTAGTGCATAGGTAGCTTATATAGCTAAAATATCTTAAAGCAATAAGCACCTGCTAAACTCTACTATACGTAATTTTGCTAGGCTGTATTTAGTATAAGAGTTACTTGCGTAACTAAAACACCTCTAAGCAATAGACACCTGCTAAACTCTACTACACGCAATTTTGCTAAGCTATATTTAGTATAAGAGTTACTTACGTAACTAAAACACCTCTAAGTAATAGATATTACTCTCTAGTGTTTCTATATTAGGCTGCAACGTGCGTAATTTAGCAACGCGCGTAATAAAGCAATGCGCATAATTTAGCAATATACTCTTAAAGAATAGTTTATTTTAGCTATCTAAGAGCAGTATTAATTAACTTTAGGTTAACGCAGGCGCAATACAGCATATTGCTTTAATATATAGGCACTATCTTCTCTACGCGTTAGCTAAAGTTTATCTGCAGTTTAGCATAGGTTAGAAAAAAGTTAGCTCTATAGCTGCTATACGCCTCTAGTATCTCTATAATAGGCCTAAGATATGCGTAATTTAGCAACGCGCTGCAGTAAGCCTCTAAAAAACTGCCTTTACTAAAGCTTCTTCTAACTTAGTTCTCTAGTTTTAGTTTTCTCTTAAAAATTCTACCTCTATTATAATACCTGCAAATAGTTTTAAGTTTAATTTTCGCAGCGCAGAGTAGATATAGCAGAAAAGGTTATAGAGGTTAAGCAATTTTAGTACAGAACTTACGCAACCTGCGCAGCTCTACTAAAACTATAAGCTTATGTTTGCTAAGATCTGCTCTGCAGGGATATAGAGAAAATCGCAAAACCTTTAGAAAAAGTATTTCTAGTATAACTTAGCTGCTTATCTAACTAGTACTATATACTTAAAATATTAAAATAATATAACTTTTAGCATAGATTTTTAACTAGAATTTTAGATTAGCTAGAAACCTATCCTAAAATCTAGAAAAGTAAAGGTTTTAAAAGATATTTTTGCTAGTAAGTAGAAAATATTCTATAGGGTAGTAAAGTTTAAAATAATCTGTAAGTAGTAAGTTTGCAAATATCTTATTAGCTAGTAAATTTCTAAACTTCTAGAAAAGAGGATTTCTAGTATTACCTTAGCTGCTTATCTAACTAGTAATATATACTTAGGAATATTAAAAATAATATAACTTTTAGCCATAGACTTTAACTAGAATTTTAGGATTAGCTAGAAACCTATCCTAAATCTAGAAAAGTAAGGTTTTAAAGATATTTTTTCTAGTAACTTAAAAATATTCTGCAGGTAGTAAGTTTGCAAATATATTATTTCTACTAAGTATAAAATAATCTGCAGGTAGTAAGTTTGCAAATATTTTATAAGTAGTAAGTTTGCAAATAATCTATAGGTAGTAAGTTTATAAATAATCTATAGGTAGTAAGTTTGCAAATAATCTGCAGATAGTAAGTTTGTAAATAATCTATAGGTAGTAAGTTTATAAATAATCTGCAGGTAGTAAGTTTATAAATATTTTATAGGTAGTAAGTTTGCAAATAATCTATAGGTAGTAAGTTTGCAAATAATCTGTAAGTAGTAAGTTTATAAATATTTTGTAGGTAGTAAGTTTGCAAATAATCTATAGGTAGTAAGTTTATAAATATTTTATAGGTAGTAAGTTTGCAAATAATCTATAAGTAGTAAGTTTGTAAATATTTTATAGGTAGTAAGTTTATAAATAATCTATAGGTAGTAAGTTTGTAAATAATCTACAGGTAGTAAGTTTGCAAATAATCTACAGGTAGTAAGTTTATAAATATTTCGTAGGTAGTAAGTTTGCAAATAATCTGCAGGTAGTAAGTTTGTAAATAATCTGCTAGTAGTAAGTTTGCAAATAATACTATAGATAGTAAGTTTATAAATAATCTATAA